GGAGATTGTGTCCATAGACAGAACTCAAGCTATCTCTTTGACTGAGAGTGCAGATGGTAGTGGTGGTGTTTAGATTGGGCTGGCAGTGAGTAATCTAATTATTATTATTATTATTATTATTTTTAAATAAGGACAATTGCCTATTACAAATGACGATTCCGCATTTGGCTGGTCTTATATTCATCACCGTAGGAATTGAATTCAAGCCTTCCCCAGCCCCTTCTCATCAATGGACAAATTTGTACGAAGGCTTCTAATATTCGGCCAATTGGGCCAATAGTATCAAACCAATAGCGATTCATACAAGCTAAATTTTCTAATCGATAATTGCGCCAAAGAAAGAACTGGCATCTTCTTCTGGAAATTCTAGCTATTCTTAGCATGATAAAAACGGGTTTTTATGGAGCATTCAAATTGTCAATTGGGAACCCTACGTTGTTAACATTTTCACGCTGCCGCCCTTAATATAAATGTGCATGGCGTTTCTCTGCCAAAATTATCTCAAATCTCAAATTCATTCCACTTTTAATATAAATGTGTATGGCGTTTCTCTGCCAAAATTATCTCAAATCTAAAATTCATTCCGCTTTCTATATGAGGTCTGGTCCTTTTTTTAAGCCACCGTAAAACGTCTGAGAGCAACTGGTGCCATCTCACACCATGGGAGTAATTCAGGTCACCAAAGTCACCCCATCTTCTCACTCCCCAAAATCAGCCTCCGACTTCTCTCTCCCGCTCACTTTCCTGGACATTTTTTGGTTCAAGTTCCCCCCTGTCGAGCGCCTCTTCTTCTATCGCCTTCCTGACATAAACCATAACTTCTTCAACTCAGAGGTCCTCCCCAAACTCAAAACTTCTCTGTCTCTTACTCTCCTCCATTTCCTCCCTCTAGCCGGTAACCTCACTTGGCCCTCACCTGATGCTGCAAAACCCTTCATCCGCTACACTCCAAACGATGGGGTTTCTTTCACAGTTGCAGAGTCCAACGAAGACTTCGACCGTCTGTCCGGTAGCCAAACCTACGAAGCTAACGAATCACATCATTTGGTACCTCCATTGAAGGTATCTGATGATACCGCATCAATCATAGCTTTGCAGGTCACACTATTTCTGAATAAAGGGTTTTGCATCGGCATAACAACACACCATACAGTTCTTGATGGTAAAAGTACGGCCATGTTTGTTAAGGCTTGGGCTCATACATGTCGGCAAGGTGAGAAAGGAAACTCTTCTTCATCATTACCGATTGAGTATACCCCATTTTTTGACAGGAGTGTAATCAAAGATCCATCTGGACTAGATATCTTGTACTTGAACCAGTGGCTAGCTTTTACGGCCTCTTCAGATTCAAGAAGTTTGAAGGTGCCACAAAATCTAGGAGTTGTCCCTCATGATTTGGTTCGAGCAACGTTTCAACTAACTCGTGAAAACATCAAGATACTCAGAGAAATGGTTGTGTCTAAATGGGATAAGTCAAAGCCACCAATTCATCTGTCAACTTTTGTGCTGACACTGGCGTATACAACAACTTGTATGGTGAAAGCAAGAGGAGGAGAAACTGACAGAAATATAGTCTGGGGGTTCGCAGCTGATTACAGGAGCCGTTTAGACCCACCTGTGCCAGAAAATTACTTCGGAAACTGCGTTGGTCCACGCTGGCAAGCTGTGAGAGCAAGAGACTTCATGGATGAAAACGGGTTGAACTTTGCAGTAGAGAAGTTGACCGATGAGATTAAGGATTTGGAAAAGGGTCAGGTTCTTGAAGGAGCAGAAAATAAAATGTCTAGCGTCCTGGATTTGGTTAAGGAATCTACAGGATCCGTGCAACTTATTGGTGTCGCTGGATCGCCCCGTTTCAATGTTTATGAGTCGAATTTTGGGTGGGGTAAGCCAGAAAAGGTGGAGATTGTGTCCATAGATAGAACTGGAGCTATCTCTTTGGCTGAGAGTGCAGATGGTAGTGGTGGTGTTGAGATTGGGTTGGCTTTAATGAAGCATGAAATGGAGATTTTTGCTTCTTTTTTTATTCATGGTTGTAGCTAGATACCTAAGCATTTAACATGAAGTGGACCAAATCAAATTCCAAATTAAAATACTCATATAGAGTCGGAACCCATCCCAATTATACATTACTTGAATTACCTTGTTTAATGTTAGTTGGAAGATGTTCAATTAAGCTCCATGTTAGAATTTCTTAGAATTTCTTGAACTCAAATTTTAAGACAATTGGATGGTTTTGCAAATAGATAAGTACTCTTTTTTTTTTTTTTAAAGTTGCCTATCATTGTACTATGTATTATAAAAGGATGTTTTTAATTTGTGCCTAAAGATTATAGATTAATTGTACTTTTCTGTTATAAATGTATATAAAAAGAATAAAGTAAATATTAATTTTAGTGTATATGTTAAGTGAATAAATTTAGTTAGATAATTAATAAATTAAAATTTAATTATTATTTCTTTAATATAAATTTATGACAAAAAAAATTTATTACACCTTTAATCCATATCTTAATTGTATATGTTAAGAGAATTCATTAAAATATTGAATTACATAAAAAAAAAATAAAATTACTTCTTGAAATGAAATATTTTATTTCCCAATTGGAGCCCAAAAAGGTCAACGATTCAACGGCACAAACGGGCTGAGAGAATAAAAGGGTGCTGATAGATATGGGCTCTATTGGTCCAAGAAAAATGAAGCAAGATGTGACGTTTGGGGCTCAGTTAGGCCCGTCTTCTTTTGTGTTGTAATATGTCTCAATTTACAGCCTCATCCAACAAGTGTGGTTCGGTTGACATTTGAATTTGCTCCATCGATATTTGATATTGGCCCAGGGTGTTCTCATTATTTATTTTTTTCTTTTTAAAATTTTATATTATACAATAAAAAATAATTTTTTTTCATCTCAATTCATTTCATTCGTATATCATGTAATTAACTCAGAATTTTTTATTTTTAATAAAAATAGTTTATTACTTAATTAGTTAAGTTGTTGACAATATTTTTAAATAGTTAAAAACTTAAAATTTTAAATTAAAAATCTTGATTACAAATTTTGATATGAGTAAAAAAGGATCAAAGCAAAAGAGAGTTATCCCTATTTTATAATTCACTGTTAAATGTACTAAAAAAATTTAAAATTTAATATTTTACAAGACTTAAGTTTTCCTTTGATACATTTTTTTGATAATTTAATTTTAAATTTTTATATTTTTTAACTACTCTAAAAAAATATAAAATATTAATCAAAATAAATATTAAATATATTATATATATATTTAAAATATTAAAAAACTAAAAAAATTAATGGTTGCACAACAATATGTTGATACTCTTAAAGTAAACCTTAATTATGTAAAACAA